ATGAATAATCTTAAAGTCTGAACCCCTTACTCAGGTCTAATAATGATTATGCCATTCAGTGTCAAGGGAGATGATGACAGCAACATATCAGCCCGCCACTAGGCACTGGTCTTAAGATCAAAATACATAAGCCAAAAGACATGAGGTGGGGAATCCTGGTACAGATTGTGCTGACTTCTAATCAAGGGGCAGCAAATAAAAGAAAGGTAGCACCAGGTCTTAGAGTTTTTAATCTTTACGAGACTTTCACTTTATTTCTATAAAAACCCAAAGTTTTGATTATTCAGAAATATTTAATGACCTCATTACATCAAAGGACAGTACCAGTATCACACTGTTTACACATCCATTTTCTACAAAGTCTCTGGGGAAGATCCAGGATTGTATTCAGTAACTGAGAGTAATGATCATAAAGAACATGCTTATAAAATTCTATAGCATATCACCTCAATGAAAAAGGAAAAAGAGAAACATTAAACAGTGTCTGCCAAGTACAAATACAGAACAATTTTTGCTTTCCATAGTTGAAATAGGTACATTTAAGGAATTTAGATGTTAAATTCTCTTTCTTTTATCTATCTTTTGGCATCAGTACCCACGGACAATGGAAATTTACTAATTATGTTTGGTTTTTGGCAAAACATAAAATAAACAAATGAGAGAAAGGGCTTTCATTTTCCCAACAACCAGAATATTACTACTTTATTCCAAAAGAAATATCACTCATAGAGTCCCTTTATAAATAGTAATTATAACCTTTGGGAGGCTGAAGTGAGTGAATTGTATGAGCCCACAGGTTCGAGACCCGCCTGGGCAACTTGGCGAGACCTCATCTCTACAATAAAATAAAAAAAAATTAGCCGGGCATGATAGTGCGCACCTGTAGTTCCAGCTACTTGGAAGGCTGAGGCGGAAGGATCGCCGGAGGCCAGCAGTTCTAGGCTGCGGTAGCCAGGAGTGGCCACTGCACTCCAGTCTGGGCAGCAGAGTGAGACTTCAACTCAAAAAAAAAAAAAATAGTAATTATGAATTACTAAAAATTACTATAAATACTAAACATGTATCCCCTTCCTACATGTTGTTGTCTGCTAAATTTTATGTACATAATTTGTGGCAAGAGACAGTCAGTCAAGTGAAACAATATTCAATATTAAAACCAACAGCAAGAGTCAGTGTGCCTGAAAAATGAATCTTTACACCAGACACATCTATTATCAACATAAACTTCTTATACAAATCCTAAAAGACACATTTAATTTGTTGGCGTTTAGCTTGAGAAAAAACTTTAAAATTTCCAAACAAGTTATGCTATCATCAGCATCACTAATGAATTCAAATCCATTACAACGTTGATCAAGTCTTAATAAACAGAGAAAGCAAGGTGAAATTAAGTGATGCTTTCTGTAATATTCTCATTCCTGAATTGGAGTGTGAAAGTTAGGCTTTCCGACATGCCTAATGTACCATGTATTCAGGACAATCTGAAATTTGTGATGTTGCAGGCCAGGCAGGTAACTTCCTAGGTAACATGTTCAAACTGATGGGATCCAGGACAAGCTACTCCAAAAATATAACACCTTGGCATACTGAATATTTAAAGCCAAAGACATTTGAGAAATAGCAGGTGCAGGAAGGACTCTCTGAATTCCCTTGAAATAGGCCATAAGACTCTCATATAAGCTGGGCTCGGTGGCTCAGCCTATAATCCCAACACTTTGGGAGGCGGAGGCGAGTGGATTGTCAGAGCCCACAGGTTCGAGACCCACCCGGGCAACGTGCTGAGACCTCGTCTCTACAATAAATAAAAAAATTGCCGGGCGTGGTAGTGCACGCCTGTAGTTCTGGCTACTAGAAAGGCTGAGGCGGAAGGATTGCCGGAGCCCAGCAGGTTGAGGCTGTGGTGGCCAGAAGCATGCCACTGTACTCCAATCTGGGCGACAGAGTGAGACTCCAACTCAAAAAAAAAAAAAAAAGACTATCATATGAGAGGTACCCTCCCTATACCTAAAGGAACATCCTTATTTCTGAAGATGGAGGAACTGTGAGAATAATTTGAACCAACAGGCTAAGTTACCTTTAGTTTACTACTCTCCGCTCATACCCCTTTGTCCTATCACATTTTCCCACAAATTCCACTCTTCATCAAACAGCATAAACACACTCAGGTTTACCTTTTTCTATGGGTTTTCATTTTCTTACGAATGCTCCTATGTCACATAAGGCTTATATGAAGTAAATTTGTATGTAGTCTCTTTATAATCTTTTTTTTTTTGCTACAGAACCCCATATGAGAACCTAGAATGGGTAGAAGGAAAGGATTTTTTTCCTCCCCTACAAGATCTTACTTTGACTAGCTGTTTCTTAGTCTCTCATGAGCTATAATTTGCTTTGCATTAGCTTGGGCTTCGTGAGGCCTAGAGATCTTCCTTTAGGCTTTTTAATGTACTGTTATCTGTATTTTTGTATTTGTACAATATTGTATTTCCTTCATTTTACATTCATTTTTGAACTAGTGTACTGCTAACCTCATTTTCCCCAGTGTGATATAAAACAGCAGCTCTTGAGGTCCTCTTTAGCCCCTGATGCAGCAGAGGCCTCTTGAAGGCCTGAGTTACTGCACTGCCCAAGTAGTGGCAACGCCACCATGAACTCTCGACTCCAAGTATTTCAGTGACTCCAAGACATGACACGGTTGCTGATCTTCAGGTCTTATGTCTACATCCAACCATTCTTAAAGGTTGGTGTGTTGTAAACTGAAAAAAAAAACAAAACTAAACTAAAAACTAAACATAAGATTAGCTACTGATACTTTGTTTTTTTTAACTGAGGCTGTGTCCATCGGAATAAAATATTTGTTGTTGTAGGATTTAAAGCAGGCAAATTCTTCTGAAGTCATAAAAATATTAAGATTATAAGTAATACACAAAACGAGAAAATTCAAAAGTTGTCTAAAATACGTAAGTTCAGAAATTCTATAGCAAAATACAGCACCTGGAAAATTTATAATAACTGATAAGATCTTTTAGACACTGACACATTCATAATAAAGACAAACTATTAAAGATAAGAGATTAAGCCGGGCTCGGTGGCTCAGCCTGTAATCCCGCGCCTTTGGGAGGCTGAGGTGAGCGGATTGCCTGAGTCTTCGGGTTCGAGACCCGCCTGGGCAGCGAGACTTCATCTCTACAATAAATCAAAAAAATCAGCCAGGTGTGGTAGCGCACGCCTGTAATTCCGGCTACTTGGAAGGCTAAGGCGGAAGGATCGCTGGAGCCCAGCAGGTCGAGGCTGCGGTGGCCGGGAGCGGCCACTGCACTCCAGTCTGGGTGACAGAATGAGACTCCAACTCAAAAAATAAAAATAAAAAAAATTTTAAAAAGAGATTAAAATATAGATAACAGATAAGGCAGGAATGTTTAAGTGAGTTCCTTTGCTATACAGCATTAATCTATTAAAATGCAATGGCTACATAAATGTTTATTACCTATACTTCAAATTATTTTAGGAAAAAACACTACACAATAAAAGATGAGACTGATGATGAAATCTTAAAATACCTTTATAGAAATAACGACTTCTTGAAAATATTCAGAAACTAAAACTACACAACTTATTGTACAACCAGCATCTAAAAGCTATGGTAGAGAACACAGTTCATTCATTCATGGAAATCTACAACTGGATAGACAAGCAGTTACCAAATTTCTCTACTGCTGATTTTAGGCCAGTGAGCATAAAACTCATCAGACTTGTTTAAAAGTGTTTTCTTTTGGGAGGAAATGCTGACGAACAGGAAGAAAAGACTGACAGGCAAGAGAAACTTGTCAAGTTATTTAAAAGAGGGAACAACAATATTTATAATAAATACTAAAAATGTTGCTCTGAAAAGGTAGTACAGAAAAAGATCTAAAAAGCCTAAGTTAGTTTATCCTTCCCTGAGCCTTTTACCTTTCAGTATTATCTTAGGCAAAAGAAATTGTCCAAATTAAAATATTCAAAGCTATTACATGTTCTGAAGTAAATGCTACATCTTGCGTTTTAGATTAGCACAAAGGCTGATGTAATTTTTCAGCAGAAATACACAAGGATTGTATTATATCTACTATTTAGACTGACCTTCTAAACTATAAGCAAAAATTTTTCCCATAAAGGAAGAGGAAATACAGACGAGGAAGATGCAACTACTGAATAGCTAAAAGAAAAGTAAGGCAACAATGGGCAACTATGTTCCAGATAGCTACTAGAGATTATCAAATGAAATCTCATAATACAAACGGAACAAAGCTACGTTCTATTTAAGGTGATCAACTACTTTTCTCTTTCATGTAGCAATTACCCTCCAATACTGTCCTTACGCAACTGAGCTAAAAGATGTCAGGGAGTTGTACAGGCTGTAGGTAAGGCTGAGGAAAGAGAATCTCAGAACTAACTACAGAAGGGTTAGGGACAGAGAGATCAGAAACAAAATCCAGAATCTTTTCATTTACACCTAAATCTCCAAAGGAATAAAATTGTAAGTTATTAATCTAGTGATTAACTTGTAATACTCAACCTAAGCCATTTCAGTAATCTTTATGAGGTAAATGAAAGGGTCAGACCTCTTTCAAGAATTGGTTAACTGACTCCAACTCAGAAAGGAAGGAAGGGAGGGAGGGAGGGAAATAATTGGTTAAGCTCTGGTAAATAGTATTACCTCATCAGGTGATATAGAATTTTGCAAAACAAACTTTCCTCTTCAACCCACCTTTTATGAAGAAGGTTCTGTTAAAATGACGTATTATTTACTTATGGACGAACAGGACAGGGAATGATGATAATCTACCTTTTAAATCTGTCTTCACAAACCAAGATTCAGAATGCAAGATTAAATTCTACAGGGAAGAAGAATTATTTTCCTTTATTTACTTTAATATTGTATGGACAACATTTTGAAAATTAAGATATAAATAAGCTATAACACACACACATTACTAGTAAGGCAATTAAAAAACTGAACTCACCATTTTTTAGGTTTTGATAATGGTTTGTATTTGCTGTATTTTACACGCCACTCAAGAACTTCTTTGCAGCGCTGACATACTCCATCGTGAAGTTTTGCATTAATTTTCTTAAAAATAAGTAGAAAAACAAATTGAGAATTTCACCCATGAGCCAGCATTGCAAACCCTCCCAAAAAGGTGTATAAGATTTAAGTTTTTAACAATAACCTAACTCTAATCCGTGTAACATTTTGCAATATGATGTGTTTTTATGTACATTACTCAATGTGGCTTCTTACAAAGGCAATGGTTCTTAACTGGCTGTAGCTCAGAATCATCTAGAAAACTTTTTGGCCAGGCTTGGTGGCTCAGCCTGTAATCCCACCACTTTAGGAGGCCGAGGTAAGAGGATTGCCTGAGCCTGCAGCTTCGAGACCAGCCCCGGCAATTTGGTGAGACCTTGTCTCTACAGTAAATTAAAAAAAAAAAAAATTAGTAGGGCATTGTAGCATGCGCCTATAGTTCCAGCTACTTGGAAGGCTGAGGCAGAAGGACTGCGGAGCCCAGCATGTCGACAGTGGGGTGGCCGTGAGTGTGCCACTGCAATCCAGCCTGGGCAACAGAATGAGACTCCGACTCAAAAAAAAAAAAAAGAAAACTTTTTAACCTCTTGCCAGGTCTATTTTGAGAAAGTTCTTCCCATCGATCCTGAGGTATATGTGTGTCAAAACTCAAACTGTACAGTTATGTGCATTTTACTGCATGTAAATTGTACTTCAATAAAAATGTAATAATAAAGAAAACTCAGATCATATTTTAAGACTATCATTTCAACTATTCAAATTCTTCAAGGAGTTAGCATTAAACTGAGAAATCAGACAGTCCTGAATTGTCAGTCTGTAGCAAAGAGCAGAGACTGAAATTTGAGGGAGAAATGACAAGGAGAAGCAGTTGGAAGAAGGCATTTCATATTCAATTTTATCCTTTTGTATTCTCATGGGAAAAAAAATGTTTTAGAAAAGTTTCCCTTATGAACTTGGTTTCTCCAAAATAGAAAATATACACGTGCGTGTGAATATCTGTGATGGGGAAAGGTCTTTATGAAGAAAAAAATCATTTTTATTATACTTTTCTTCTCAAAATGTGTTAGCAAAGGAGGACAGGAAAAATTTTATCGTGTCATGTATTTTCCATAACAGTTTTATATTTTGTAACATATTCATTTGACTCAGGACCTAAATAGCATTTTCTCAGAGTATGCTGAGAACTCTTTAGCTTGTTTTGGGGTGTCAAAGCTTGGTCTTTTACTATTTTTGGAATAATGAGTAGAAGGCATTTAAAATTTTCATTGCTTCTTTTGTTTCCTTTTTGAATTTCTTAAGGGAAGAAAGAAACACATCACAAGATGTAGTTTCTTTGAAAGGTTATAAAATAGTAATTTAAACCTCAAGTTATTTAAAGCATGTATAAAATAAAACATTAAGTTAAAAAGCACAATGTTTAGACTAGATCATCTGAAATAAAACTTCAGAACAGTGCTTGATATTTCTGAAAGGCCTAAACAAGAAGGTAAAATTATTCAAAGAGAAAATATTTCAGAGACATTTTCAAAAACCATCAATTAAGTTGTGAATACACTATACTGAGTTTAACTCTGTGGTGAAAAATATAGTACTTCTGAATTGTGTATGGGTGTATTCCCTTCTCCCTGACATAGACAGAGTCCCAGGGAGAATGAGGTCTGCACGACACTATATTCCATCCTCACTCGGTCCACTAACTTACTATTACCACAAACAAGGTGAATTTGTACCTACACACCAAATTCCTCTTTCTCTCAACTTTGGTTCTTAGTTATCACGTACAGGGCTGGCTAAGAAACGCAGAACCAAAGTTCACATTTCATCATTTGTTTTCTCTGTGTTCTGTTGCCTAGAATATCTTACTAAAGGTATTACTCATATTTTCTTAACTCTACAAATAAGAAAAAGCTAATGACAGAACTATGATTAAAATATGAATGTGAAGCAAAATTTCAAATTGGGATATTCTTAGAACACAGAACATTTCATTACCTGCAATTTTATTACATATAATACACTCTGCTGGTTAACTAGGAAGCATTCTTTGGTTTCTAGTTTGCTTCTGTATCCAATTTCTACCAGTTCATCTTGATTTACAAAGCTGTGCATAGTTTGGAAACTGGTTTCTTTAGGGTGGATCAACAGTAGAACAAAACAGGTCTTTGTGGGAACTTGCCCTGTGAGTGATGTATGAAGCAGTATAAATGGAGATGTTGTACAGAGTTCACATGACTAACAGGCACTACTACAAAGTTAAACTTTATTCTTATGTGTTAAGAAATAAATGAGGATATGAATGAGAGAGAATAGTATTTTTCACTTAAAAAACAGGTGCAGAAAAAAAAAACAGGTGCAGAAAGAAAGAAAAGTGTACACCTTATTTTACCACATTTTGGCAAAACATAAGCAAATTGCAGAGATGTGAACAAAGAAAGCCAAATCCTAGATCTAGGAATCTTTCTGCCTGGGGTAAAAGAGATGGCAATCTTACCTCACTCACACTTATGTAACAACCAACCCAGCTTTGACAATTGATTTTAGTATAACCCTCATGGTAGATCATAGGTTATTAAGGTTAAAATTTAAGTATGTACAAATATAAAATAAAATTTATATAAAAATTTAGTTTTATAAATACTAAAGATCATTCAGCTCAACAAGTTACTTTCCAGATTTTTAAAGAAAAAAAAAACCAAAAACAAACTTCAGCAGAAGAGGCCACTGAATTTAGGAACCAACTAAAGAAAAAAACCTAATTTATTAAGTGAACTTTAAAAATATTAGAATAAACTTAAGGTACATCAAAAGATATTACTACCTAATATACATAATGTCTTTAAACTGTCCTAACCATCATTAGTTAATACAACCTATATTTTAGAATAAGTATTGTTATCCCTGCTTTAAGCATTCTGGTGTCAGATAATACATCTCTGGCAATACAATACAGCAATCCCAGGCAGAAATTGGGTAAGGAGGGACGTTAACTCCCAAAAACATATCAAGAGCAGACTGTAAATAGAACATTTATACCAACATGCTGAAAAATATTTTATAAAATATAAAGTATAATTTAACTACTGTGAAAGACAAGGAATTTAAATATCATTTAAAAGCAACTAATGTAATTTTTCCTTACAGTTTTTTGTACGTAATAATACTTTCAGAAATTCTAAAGATAAAACAAAGGCATATTTTATTTCCCTTAGATGAAAAAACAGAAATAAAAAAATGAAATTCTCAAAGAAAAATGCCAAAACCAACTGTTAATAAAAATCAATTCCCATAAATGGACCCTGTTCTTTTCCCTGTATTACTTCTTCTAAAATAAGGCATTTTACTCTACTATGGCTATAACGTTACTCTGGAGAATAGAAACATGTCTATCTTGTTTAATTATATTTAAAAATACATGCTCTCTAATTTTCTGGAAACATTCCCTCATATAAACTTATATGACTAATGATAATGCAAAAATTTGTCTTTTAGGCTGTAACTTTCAAATCATAAACTACCTTATTTAATTTAATTTATTTATTTATTTTTTGAGTTGGAGTCTCACTCTATCACCCAGACTGGAGTGCAGTG